AGGTTTTTGGTTGTGGTAATTTTTGAGCCAATACATTTCCATTAGGTTTATTGCATTTACGTGGGGTCTCCTTGGAGTCAAGCTGGCAAAGAATGTCAGAATCGAGCCAACTCTCTGTGGCAATCTCGGTGGGTCCGTAGTACTCCGGGGCACTGCTGATGACAACCCTGCCAGCCTGACTCATCAGCAGATGTTGGAGGGAAGGAGATTCTTACTACTCAGCTTCAGTAAACACTGCAAGCCAAAGCCCTAAGAGGTAGAGTGGTCCAAGCTAGATAAACAGTAGGAGGCTTATCAGACTGTGATATCAATAGTAATTTAGGTGGTTTACGCTGGTTAAACTTCAGCACAACCAGTGAGGTCTCCAATATTTGGCTCTTGCCAAACTCCAGGATTTTGTAAGGCAGAATGGGCAAATAGATGGCAAATGAAGTTTAACATCGGAAAATGCAAAGTAATTCACTTTAGTAGAAAAAAATAAAGAAGCTGTATATAGCCTATATAGTTATAAGACAAGTAGAGAGGAGCATAAAGATCTGGGAATTCAGATCCACAAATCTCTAAAGGTAGTAACATGGGTAGATATGGCCATATAAAAGTACCAGTGGGGTCCTGATTTTATTTCCGGAGGGATACAGTGTAAAAGTGAGAAGAGAATGTTGAATTTATATAAAACCTTGGTTAGACAACACTTGGAGTATGGAGTTCAGTTCTGGTCACCACACTGAAGAAAAGAGTACAGTATAGGTTTGCTGGAATAAATGTTCAGGCACTCTGAGATGCTACTTATGTGAACACTGCTAGCATCTCAGAGCATCTCATTTATACAGTGTAGAACATGTGCGACACTATATAAATGCAAGTTGTTGAACAAGTTGTTGTTGATGTAGATAACAGGTTACTTCTATCAGGACAGAATACATAAGTTAGGTCTTTTTTCCTCTAGAGAGGAGATGTTTAAGAGAGGACCTAATAGAAACATTTAAAATCATAAAACGGTTTGATTAGATTAGTATACAGTGTAAATAATCGGTTCGAATTGTTGGGGTCTGTAACCAATGAACAAAAGTATAAGATAGTTACAAAAGAATTTAAAGAGAATTTAAGAGGAACTTCTTCACGAGAAGATCGTGAGAAAGTGGAATTCACTGTCCGAAGCGGTGGTTGAAACAATTAGCATAGATGCATTAAAGAGGAAATTAGATAGACACATGAGGGAGAAGGATTTAATAATAAATAATAATAATCCTTGCATTTGATACAGCGCCTTATCACATCTTCGAGACATCTCAAAGCACTTCAAGAAAATACTGTAAAGTGAATTGACTGTATATTTTGTGGGCGAAACACAGCAGCCAATTGCATAAAACAGTGTCCCACAAACAGTCATGGATTAAGTCACCAATTTTTATTATTTATTTTTTTGAAGGAATTATTACCCACATAAAAGCAATCCGCCAATTGACTAAAAACCGGGTTCCTACTTACCAGTAGGTAAACAGAGGTGTGTGGAGCAAGGAAACTTGCTCAATGTTTCGCCCTGCCCAGGAGTCGAACCCAGGTCTCTCGCTTGCGAAGCGAGTGCTCTAACCATAAGATCATAAGATCATAAGATGTAGAAGCAGGAGTAGGCCATTCGTCCCCTCGAGCCTGCCCCGCCATTTAATAAGATCATGGCTGATCTTCTAACCTAATTCCATTTACCCACCCTATCCCCATATCCCTTAATCCCTCTATCCTTTAGAAAATTCCTCTAACCTTTAGATCCGCTGAGCTACAGGATTCCACAAGGGAGGGAGTAAGAGGTGGGTGAAGACTCATGTGGTGTATAAACCCAGGCACAAGCTTGTTAGGCCAAATGGCTTGTTTCTTTGCTGTACAATCTATCTAAATCTATGATTTGGACACTCTTACCATGGTGATCGATTTCCACATGTGTCAGACACTCGGCTCACCAAAAATAATTGCCTGGGTTTTGTAGTTGCTAAGGCAGATAGGCCAACCACATATCAGCTGCTGCTTTGTTTCATTGCTGAAACTCTCTCAAGCCAATGCTCAGTTTGATGACATCGACAGCTGTGTTTATCTAGTTATTATTCTCTTTCAGACAAACATTTCTCCCTTGAGAAAGCATAGGCGTGTCTTACAAAAAGGATGTGATTTTTTCTGGCACTAAGCAGAGGAATACATTCCAAGAACCAGGGTAGAGAGCAGGATTAGATGGATCAGCAAATATGTGTCATTTCCCACTCAATGTCGGTTCCCCTCTTCGATCTGCAATAGTCCTATTTAAAGTTTAATGCATTTTCAAGAACCCTGAGCTTATAATAATAATCTTTACATTTGGCATAGGGTCTTTTACATCGGGAGAATGTTTTCACAGGTTGATGTGGAATGACTGTCAAGATTGTGAAACTCTCTATTCCCTCAGTATTGCCTTCCTCTTAGGATCACCAGGTTGGTCACTCATTCCATGACTGTTTGTGGAACATTGCTGTGCGCAACTGGATGCCGCATTTCATGCACAAAATACACTTTACAGTAATATTCACTTTATAGTATATCTTATGAAGTGCTTTGAGACATCTTAATAATGTGATAAAGTGCTATATCAAATACAAGGATTATTATTTATTATTATGGTTCTGCCCTCACTATGGATCTTGGAAATTCACATAGGCTTCTAAGTAACAAACAAAGTTTGCCATGTGTGCAGACAAGGCCTTCTCAAAAAATTGTTCCATCTCGTTTGCGCATCAATAATATTTGAACAGTCAGAATAATTGGCAGTAATGTGCAGCAGATTTGGTATCTTTTACTTGGGAAATAAGGGCTACAAAAGGGATGTTGAGAAAGGTGGGGAAATGGAATTAGAAGATCTGCCATATTCAAATAAAATGACAGAACAGTCTAAAAGAACAGAATATGTTCCTATGTTTCTATTTTCCACAGTTAAGATTCCACTGCTTACATTAGCCAAAGACCTATCAAGCCATTATTTAATATTGTTGATTTGGTCCATTTGATAGAACTCTGTATCAGTAAATTGTGAGTTCCTACTTTTAAATTCATCCATAGTCTCGCTCCATCCTATCTCTGTGAACTCTTTAACTCCTACCAACCAGCCACTCCCTTCACACGGCAAGCGCTGGCCTGCTTCAATATACCCCCCCTTCCCGCCCCACCATCAGCAGGTGCGCTTTCAGCCTTTCTACCCTCACTCTCTGGAACTCCACTTCATTCAAGTCTGTCTCAAGGCCTACTTTTTTGCACTTTTGGTCATCTTTCCTCTTCCCAGCACTCTTGGCTCCCACCCACAGTTTGGGTGCCTAGCCAGTGCTGTTAAACATTTTAGGACATCACCTCAAAGTGAAAGGAGCTATATAAAAGTAACATTGGATAGTATTATTCAATGGGGAGCTGCATCATCATGGTGCTGTCCTTCATGCTATTCTGTAAAATTTCTCTTGAAGTTAACATATCTGATATTGTAACACTCCAAATGCCTCATCAGTGATCCATATAGTGTTCGAATACCTTCTTTCAGCCTGAGACAAACACCTTTGAGTTATAACTTGGTATCGACTTTGTTGATAACATCTTCCCATTGATAAAAACATGAGTAAATTATCTTTGACCACTGGGTGTTTTACAAATGCGGAAACGCATCACCATAGCAATGATATAATCTGAACACGTTTTCTTCTCAGAAACAGCAACATATCTATTTGTAGGTCAAGCACAATTTGTATTTATTTAGCTCCCTCCCAATGGCATAATGTATCGGAGTGCTTTACAGATGCAGTATTAGTCACCGAGCAAGATAAAGGGGAGAGGGGGAAGGAGGAATTGGCCATAGGCTTGGTCAAAGAGGTTTGTTTCAAGGCAGGACTTAAAGGCAGATAGAGAAAGAACAAGGCAGAGGGATAAAGTAAGGGAGTTCCAGAGACTATGGGGCATAGTAACTGAAAACATGGCCTTTCTGGCTATGATCAGAAAGAAACCAAAAGTACATTCTCTTGCGGTTTTAGTGCTCATTTAAAATCACCGGTGAGACATCAGATGTCACTTTAGCTGGGCTAGAGTGGGGAAGTCCAGTCCGTGCTCCACACAGATCTTGTCTCGACCATTTTCATGCTTGGTTTCAATGGCTTTGAGTTCACTTGGACAGGCAAAGCTTCTTCCACAAATGCCACAAGTATATGGTTTCACGTCACTGTTCTGCATCATGCGTTATTTGAGATGACTAGTTTGTGTGAAGGCCATGTTGCAAACAAGGTATTTGTGAGGTCTTGTACCCTGATGTGTCAGCATGTGAGTGTGCAGGTGGCTCAGTTGTTTGAAGAGCTTCCCACACTGAGAGCAAGCATGAGGCTTAATACCACTGTGCCCCAAGGTTATATTTGGATGTGTTTGACTTTTCACACATTTGACATTGCCATTGTTTCTGATCGCTACTCACATCAATATAATAGGTGAAGGAGCTATCCCCACCTTTGCTGCAATAGCCTGAGTGACTTCCTTCTGTGCCGTATTTTCTACGAGTCTATGAATGATAGTTCAGTGTCTCTCTAAAGGTTTAGAATATCCAATTTGAACCTCACTAAAGCTTACAGAGATACATGCTTTTCACTGGTTAGGCACTAATAAAATAGTGAGCAAATGCAGGACGGACAGAAATAAAATACATGGCACTCTATTTATTCCAGGCTGTCTGAATTATTTAAATTATAACTTCATTGGAGTTTAAATTTGAATGAGATGTAATCTATATCTGTTAGTTATATTGATCCGGTAAATTGAGAGAAATTTGTACAAATGATAATTCTTCATGTTTTTAACTCTTAAAAAGCTATTTACAGCATCTATTTTGTTGGCTTTTTGAATTTCTGTTTTTTTAAGGTGGCTAAGAGTTAATATTGAATTAAAACGGACTGGTTTAATTATCCTCAAATTTATAAATACATTTATTTATAACTTTATTTACTCTTTTTTTAAAGGAAAAAATCAGAGGTAACATCCATGGAGAGCAAGTACATCATCAAAATGGATGAACATATTCCAAGTTTCAGAGATTTTAAGGAAATACAGACTTCTCCACAATTTTCGATGCAGCCTCTTTCACTTACTGCTAAACCAAACAAATATACAATCTTTAGAGACAACTATGAATCGGGCATCATGTATTCTGGGAAGGATGTGTCTACCCCAACTCTGGAAAGATTCCCTGTAAACTCTGAAGGAGGGTCCCGTAAGCGGAAAAGCACTCCCACAAAAGTAATTCACACTTCCCGGTTAGACGACTTTTCAATAGAAATGGAAGAGCCTGAAGACATCAAGATGGACATACCATCACCAAAACCCACAGCCGGTGCCCAGATGATAGACTTGAGCAACGGAGGATTTCAGTTCTTCAGAACTTTAGATCATCTTGGTACTATGGGATTGAAACCTGAATCCATTAAGCATAACGTGATGTGGCCAGCAAGTCCTCTGATGATGCACTCTCCCCGGCCATACTTTGCTAATATTCATCCTGAATTTATGTTCCCTTTTGTTATGGCACCACCAAGTCTGCATTTTAGACATCCCTTTTATAATCATGATCTACTTGGATATCCCATTGGAGGCTTCCATATTGCAGAAGAAAATGGTCAGAAAAACAGGGTCGAAAGAGTTGATGTCAACATTAAGATTGATGATACCTATTATGTTGATGTGGGTGGCGATCAGAAACGCTGGCAATGTCGAATGTGTGAAAAGTCGTACACATCCAAATATAACCTCGTGACACATATCTTGGGGCACAGTGGTATTAAGCCTCATGCTTGCTCTCAGTGTGGGAAGCTCTTCAAACAACTGAGCCACCTGCACACTCACATGCTGACACATCAGGGTACCAGACCTCACAAATGCCTTGTTTGCAACAAGGCCTTCACACAAACTAGTCATCTCAAACGACACATGATGCAGCACAGTGATGTGAAACCATATACTTGTGGCATTTGTGGAAGAGGCTTTGCCTATCCAAGTGAGCTCAAAGCCCATGAAACCAAGCATGAAAATGGTCGAGACAACATCTGTGTGGAGTGCGGACTGGACTTCCCCACTCTAGCCCAGCTAAAGCGACATCTGACGTCTCACCGAGGTCCCATTCTGTATCAATGTAATGAATGTGACAAAACATTCCAGTATCCAAGTCAGCTTCAAAATCACATGATGAAACACAAAGATATCCGTCCCTACATCTGCACTGAATGTGGGATGGAATTCATTCAACCCCACCATCTCAAGCAGCACTCCTTAACTCACAAGGTAAGAATCTTGTGTCTAAAGACAAAGTGACCTTTCATTCAGATCATCTCAAGGAGGTTGGTAGATTATCTATATGCAAAACTGTACAGAATTTATTTGTTCATTTATTGGAACAAGAAAAAGTCACTTAGTCACAATGGGAATTATTGTCCCCTGTGTCTTGATGCGTGGCCAAACTTCACAATTTCTGTTTTCATAAAACTGAGTATAAATGCCCACATAAATTATTAGAACATTTTAGTACCTGAAATTGACAAAATTTTTATGATAAAAGCAAAATATAAAGAAATTGTTGGAAGCATACAACAACACTTTAGCATTCATGACCCAACCATCACAGCCCAGGTCATTCATTCTAGGTCTAAGATAGGGTTAGATCCCTTTCATGATCATTGATCCTTGGTGACATGTCCTTTCTATATTTTATTTATATGAGTGAGAGTTATATCAGTACATCCCAGTAGATTGATAAATTGTAGTAAAACTGTAGAAATATTACAGAAATTAAGATATTTCTAATATTCACAACATACATTTAACGTTAAGAGTGTTAGAAGCATAACTGAAAATGTGCAGAATATACAGGAGGAAGTTCGGATTTATCCTANTTTTTTATTGATTGAAAATATGCAGTCAATTCACTTTACAGTATATCCTGTGAAGCGCTTTGAGATGTCTCAACGACGTGATAAGGTACTATATCAAATGCAAGGATTATTATTATTATTTATCAAAAAGTTTATTTTTCAATGTGAAATTCCCCTCCGCCAGTTTTAAAACTAAACTGGATATCTCAGAAGAGGGGCCAAGTGCTCTGGTGATGATGCTATGATGTAATGAGAAGGGAGTAATCAATGATCTTAATGTTACAAGAATGAAACAGCCTTGGAAACTCAGAGGGGACCTTGTACAGTATTTAGGATTTTAAACTGAGAAAGTAAACCCACCACATACTTGCAGATAACAAAGACAGCAGAACAAGAGGGCACAGGTTCATGGCCGCAAAGTGTAATGTCAAGACAGACATCGAAAGGTATTTGAAACAAAAACAGAAGTCGCTGGGAACACTCAGCAGGTCAGGCAGCATCTATGGAGAAAGGAAAGTGAGTCAACGTTCATGCTTGTTCATAACCTGAAATGTTGACTCACTTTCCATAGATGCTGCCTGACCTGCTGACTGCTCCCAGTGACTTCTGTTTTTGTTTCAGATTTCCAGCATCTGCAGTATTTTACGTTTTGTTTATCAAAAAGTATTTCTTTACTCAGAGGGTGATTAATGATTCAAACTGACGATCAAGAAAAGTGATTTGAGGCCAGGACACTGGATTCTTTTAAGAAATCACTTGATGCTGTAATGAGATGACAGTTGGAAGGACAGATGAGATCAAATCAGCAAACCAACTTCTTCATCTGAATCTCATCTGATCATGTGTTTTCACATGACTGTTCTCAAGTCTTCTTTTTTTTCTTTTCTTGAGGGAGAAGACTAATCCTGTAAACTGGGGGCCAATCTGGTGATATTCACAATTATAAAAAAAATACATTTTAATTGGCCTGTTTAAAACATTGGTGTGAAACATTGATGGACTCCTGTAGCACATTGGTTAGAGCACTTGCCTTGCGAATGAGAGGACTCAGATTAAATTCTTGGGCAGGGCAAAACCTTAGTTTAGTTTCTTTAGTCCACACACCTCTGTTTATCTAACAGTAATTAGGAACCTGGTTGTTCGTCAATTGGTTGATTGCTTTCTGGGGATAATAATCCCTTCAAAAAAATAATAATAGTAATCAACTCAATCCACGACTGTTTGTGGGACACTGCTGTGCACAATTGGCTGCCATGTTTCACTCACAAAATATACAGTCAATTCACTTTACTGTATATTCCAGGAAGCGCTTTCAGAAGTTTCAATGACATGATAAGGCGCTATATCAAATGCAAGGATTATTATTATTAAACATGCAATGTTTTTCATGTGATCATTTGCACTGGTAATAAATCTCACATCATCAGTGACTGCATTTCACATTGTTCTATTGAAAATATGACAGGCTTCATTTCTCATTGTTATTTTGATATCCACCAAATTGGCCCTGTGTTTACATAGAAGAGTTTCAGTTCTCATTAATACAAACTCACAATGACTGTATTTCCTTTCTGATCCTAATTTGTGTAACATAATTCATTTAAGAGACTATGGTTGGTGTACTTGCTCCCTGCACTCAGCAAATGTGGTTCTGCTGCACAACCCACTCCACCTCCCACCTCCCGCCAATTCGATGGCCGAACCTTCAGCAATGATGCCCTCACCCTCTGGAACTCCCTCCCTTCTACACTGTATTTCATTCCTTCTCTATCTTTCTTTAAATACCACCTGCAATCTATCTCCTTAATCACATCTATGGTCACTCTTCCTCCCCTTGTAACTTGCTCAACATCTGACACCGGCTCTGTAAAGCACTCCGAGACTATATCCTATGTGAAGGACTTTATTTAAATGCAAGTTGTAGTTATGAACCCAGCTAAGTACAGGAAACACAGAGAATTATCATTATTTCATGATCATTTATGTTTTAAAAAGTGATCATATTTCAAAGTTCTTCCCATATTTAGTGGCAGAAATTGAAACAATGTTAGTGCATATCCATTAAGGTGACAGCTTGGCTCAGTTAGTAGCATTCCCTCACCTGGTGTGGGTTCAAGCCCCACGTTGGGCCTTTACGCTCACAGGCTTAGTTAACACTCAGGTTGAAGATCATTTGAAAACAGAAGGATAATAATAATAATAATCCTTGCATTTAATATAGCGCTTTTCACGTCGGGAGGACGTCCCAAAGCGCTTCACAGAACACACTGTAAAGTGAATTGGCCGTATATTTGTGGGCGAACGCAGCAGCCAATTGCGCACAGCAATGTCCCACAAACAGTCGTAGATTGAAAATGACCAATTTATTATTGTTTTTGGTTTTGGAGGGATTATTATTAGGTGTGTGGAGTAAGGAAACTTGCCCAAGGTTTCGCCCTGCCTGGAATTGAACTCAGGTCTCTCGCTTGCAAAGCGAATGCTCTAACCACTGAGCTACAGGACTCCACATATTTCTCCCAGGATCCTACACAACAATTCTCCCATATAAATTGGTCATTCACTTATAATCCTTGCATTTGATATAGCTTCACACTTCACAGCTGTTTGTCTATAGGACATTGCTGTGGAAAAAATTGACTGCTGTCTTCTCCTACAAATATAGCCACTTCATTCTACATCTCTGAAGTGCTTTGAGACATTTCAACATGATAGACACCAAGTCAAATGGAAGGCTTATTATTATCGAAGTGTATTTCCTTCAAAATGACCAACTAATTGTTGCAACTAATACATGTAACTAAGAACAAGCTTATATGTTTATAGCCATGTGGTGTGAGCTGGGTTGGATTGACATTCACCGGAGCAGTTTGAGTCTCCTGATACTTTCAAATTATTTACAATGTGTAGGAGAGTTCACCAGAATACATTAAAACTTCCCTGGTACACCTTTACCCCAGTCATTCCATCTTCCGTGAGAAAGTCTCCAAAAACACAAGATTATTCAATTCAAGAAGACGCAACTTACAGGGATCTCCATTGGATATTGTTTCTTGTCCAAGCATTGGGTAGCAGGAAGAGATCCACTCTCTCACTTAGATAATCTCCTTGAGGTGAGCACAGTTCAGCCTCTAGAGCAATTTACACATATTTACAAGCACACAGCCATTCTACTTCACAGTAAATCCTGCAAAACTTTGGGTCGTCCTCCTGACGTGAAAGGTGCTATACTAGATGCAAGGATTATTACGAATATTACACAGCACGTTTCAGATTGGGAGATACTGTAAAAAGGCTGAGGAAAGGCCCAAGGCTTTTACTAGTGACAAAAGAATCAGATGAGGAGGTTAGCTGAAAGGACAGGATATAAAGGGTGCCTATATGTTTGGTAGATGGAAAGAATGTTGCATCCTGGTAGGTACATAGCAGGAAGACAAAGCAAATGTAAATGAGATGTCTGAAAACAGTGTTACTTTTTACTGTAACTTCCATGTTCTGCATTAACATTGCACGATAATTATTCTTATGAATATATGGAAGAGTGAAGCAGTAGAAATATCCATCAAAATTGCACTCCTCTGTCTCATTATCTGTGCAGAGCTTGAATATGGTCTTAAAAGGCAGAATATGTAAGGGTAGAATGTTCTTTTCTTATTCCTTCTCTTTATTCTTCTGCCAAATTTCATACTGTGTTTTGAATTTAAATATTAACACATTGATACTGGAATTTACTGCACTGATTTGAGACTTGTTTTATAAGATACTGATTTATGCTTTTGTAGAGTTCAATGCTGTTGGTTTAATGCTAATATGCTTTGTGGGTTCAGGCCCCTGAGTTCACAGTGTTATACTATTCAAAGTGAAAAGGGTGTTCTCCCAGTGTTCTGGCCAGATAAAATGTGTCTTCACTTCATTGCTGTTTGTGGGACATTGTTCTGAGCAAATTGACTCCACTTTTCTCACATGTAAACAGTCACTTTAGTTTACAGGACTTCCCTGTGAAGCTCTTTGAGATGTTTAAACGTTACAGATATTGCATGAAATCCAAAGATTTTTTTAGCAACGATGTCAATTTATATAATGACCTTCACGTCTCGGAGCACTTTACAGATACAGTTGGACGCCAAGCAAGGGCGGGTGGTGGTGGGGGCGGGGGAGAATTTCTTTCATAAATCAGTGTATAAGGAATTGATGATCAACTACTAAATAACTTTATTGTACATGGTACCTGAATTATTAAGTCGTACTGTGTTGGAGTGGTTATCAGTTCTACAGATTGTTTCTGGGTTTTAGTACAAGTAATAATGAGCAAAAACAACCACATATAGTTTGATGTAGACCCATAAATTCTAAAATTGACAAAATCAGATTGTCTACCTCAGGATAAATACACCTGCAGAGGGAGCCACCTGCTGGTTTTCCACAACATCTTCCTAAAAAAACCAGAATATCTTTAGGAATCCCACAATTTTTACCTAATTGATTTTGGTTTCTAGACTTTTTCTAAGACTATTATTTCTTATGCACCTTAAAAACAATAATTATCTCTGCGTTTCATGCCTTATTTTGCTCACACACGCCATGAAACAAACTGTCACTGTAACCTGTGAAGCGCTTTGGAACGTCCTCCCAATGTGAAAGGCGTTCATCAAATGTAAAGATTATTATTAATATTATTTGTGACTACTGGGACAGGTTACCAGGAATCGTGGTAGAGGCCAGGACACTAGATTTATTTAAGAAACAGTTTGATGCTTTAATGGTAAGTTGATAAGGTGGATATAATAGAAAAATGGGATCAAATGGGACAAAGAACTTTCTTTACCCATTTCTTCTATTTGATCTTATGAACCAACAACAACAGCAACAACAACTTGCATTTATATAGCGCCCTCCATGTTGGGGGGAATCCATGCTGTACCATGACTGTAACATGCACCTAAAATGACTGCAAGATCCGATGAAGATTTCAACACATATAAAAGACAACGCAAAGATGACAGGGATTAGGGAGATGCCAGGGTCAGGCTTGAATGTGATGTTGGAGAGAGAGAATATAGGGAGAATTCCTATTCTTTGTGGTTTTTAATTGTTCACTTTTGTTTTCCTGGTACCAGGGTGTGAAGGAACATAAGTGTGGAATCTGCGGGCGTGAGTTCACGCTGCTGGCAAACATGAAGCGTCATGTTCTCATCCACACCAACATCCGAGCTTACCAGTGCCACCTGTGCTTCAAGAGCTTTGTGCAGAAACAAACATTAAAAGCGCATATGATTGTGCACTCTGACATCAAGCCTTTCAAATGCAAGGTTTGTACTTACTGATTGTCAGGATCTTGCTAATAAACATGACATTTCTACAATCTTTCCTTCATTTGTGAAGCTGCAGTAATTTGATATGAAAATATGCAGTGATTTGATATGAATATTGCAATATTCTATGACAATAAAGCAATTTCATAGTATTTAATATTCAATAGCTTTGCTGAGACTCTACCCTGCATGGAGGGCGCTATATAAGTGCAAGTTGTTGTTGTTGTGGTGGTGGTTATTGGCAATATTCTAACTAATTTGATCTTCCGGTTCTCTCCCTAGTTTGCTATAGTTTGGAGCTTTGCAATTGTTCCAACCACTTTTGAAACTTAGAAAATTGACTGGAGAAATCCAGTGTGTGAGGTATATTAACAGGAACATATGTAATGCCAATGTATAAAACAAGTTGCATAATAGATTCTAGTTACATTTGCTCAAAGTAAATTTGTTTCTGTGAGTTGTATCTGTTGTCTGTGATGCGCTGATGATATAAACATATGAAATACAGATACAAATCAAAGGTCTAGTGGACTTATTGCTCATATGTGCAAAGCTTGTTTATTGCGAGGCACTCAAAACTCAGTATATTGCAAGACATGCTGTCCATACCGCAGCTTGTCTTTTATGTGTTGAAATCTTTTATCAGAGCATTTTTCACATAATCTTTAAAATCTTAAGCCACATAAGTTTTTGTTTCCAAAATCTTGTTCCCGCTCACTCAGATAGGCTGTGGAGTGCATTCCTTCAAACATTTGTGGATGCTGAAAACAAACTATCAACATTGTTTTCAAAGAAGGATTGTTTCCCAGAATATATTTCCATTAAGTAATAAACAATTACAACTGAATGTAGCAAAAGGAAGTCACTGTGATGGTAACCTGGACTACTCAGTGAAGAAGGACAGCCAGAATAAGGGTGGTATCATTCATTTACAATCTTCTAGCTACCCTAGGGGTGAATCAAATAAGTGAAAGGAACAATGTAAAGCCAGAGGGACATTCCTTCAGGGAATATAAGCCTTAGAACTGATCATGAAGCAGAGATACACTTGAGATGTTTAACTCTTAGCATTACATTTGTAAATGTAAATGGTAAGAACAATTTGTATGCTCTCAAATCATCCCAAGATCTCAAAAGATCTTGAAACCATGAGGAAAATGAGTCAATTCTCTTTCACATGCATAGAATGAGCTATGAGCACCCAAGAAACCTAGCACAACTATGTAGGTCTTATAGTCTACATTGTAGACAAATGAGATCCACCTAGAACACAAGAACTGGATTTTGTTTCTCCTCCGATTTTCTTCCACCTTCCTTGTTCTTTGCACAATTGACCAGTGTGAACCTTGAACAGTGATTGTCAGCAAGCTGTTCAACTCCCTCTCCCACATCAAATTCAAGCCTGATCCTATCATCTTCCTAATTCCTGTCATCTCTGCATAGTGATTGAGAGCTGGACAATGGGAAGCTTGCCAGACAGTGATCTCTATGGCAAGCTATGCAGTTTTAGTTGATTAAAATCTAGCAGTACCTCAAAGCACCATCTGGGTCCCTAATACTAGGCTCTTGCCAACTTGCACCTAATATTCTCTGAAATTAGATATGAAGGGTACATCCCTACAGGGAGAGAAGGTCCAATTCCATTCTAGAAACGGGGACATTTTCAAGCATAGGGGTGGCATACATATGCAAAACTCTTAAACTTGGTGAAGTGTCAGACCTACTCATCAAAAAAAGATTAATATTTCATGTATAACCTTCATCAGTAGAAGGGAAATCTCAAGTAGAGCAGTGGAGGGCAAGTCAGGAAAAGACCTTGAAATTTTAAAATGATTACATCAAGAGGAACATGTTGTGGACTATTTATAGTTTTATTTTGTTTCTTGTTTATAAAATATATTTTACGTGTGACAGCATAGCATTGTAATCCTTAAAATGCACCAGATTGAGATTTCATTTAACAAGAATGCAGCATCTTTGAATATGACAATACTAATAATAATTCACATTCTTCGCATTTCTGCAATTTGGCCTTCTGGAGTATTATTCAGCAACAGTGCTGTGTGGTAAAATAAGTTTTGAATATGTGCATAATTTAAAATATGTAATTTATAAGATGTGAAAGATGCCCAGAATTCAGAGGGTTAATAACATCCTTGCTCAGACTTTGCTAGTTTTATAATATCTACATAATATATATATCTATGCAATGTTGGCAACTAAAATATAATTTCATGATCAAGACAAGAAAGGAAGTGCGATCAGCTGACTAAATAACCAAAGACTTGAACCTAAAATTTGTGTCTGACCTCGGCTGGTAGAGGGTTAAAGCAGTGACCAGATAGATGCATTTTGGCATGAAGCTCCTCTTCAGCAGAAGGAAGGATATTGCTGCACTGACTGCTTGCTTAACAATAGTTTTCATGTCTCCAGGGAACTTTCTGCAAATAGATTTCATCTCGCTTTCTCTTGTACTTCCTAAAACTTCCTGTTTTCTCACGGTCCTTTTGGAAAGTTTACAGACCTGCTCCCTCTCTCTTTGAGAACTCGGAAATCTTGTGAAAAGAATGTATAGTATGGAAAGCAACATTGTTTCATAACTCCCCAGTGTCAGAGACTTTAATTTGGGGATTTAAGACTATATTCAGCCAAATGTTCTGGTTGCTGGGAAGGTGTTCTCCTTGAGGGAGATAGATGGGAGCTGAACTGGCTCCAAGATGACATGCTTAGTGATGGGATTAGGGTTAGAATCAAGTCAATCCTCTATGGAGGTCTTGGTCATCTGGTTCCTGAGCCAGGCAGGTCTGCAGTACTCCAGGGTATTACTGATGACAGACCAGGCAGCCTCTTATCAGTAGGACTTGGAATGCCAGACCAGACATTGGGGGCAGAGATTCTTCCCACTCAGGTCCTGTTAACCCTACATGGATAGGGCAGTCCCAGTTGGATTAGTAGTAATAATAATAATAATCCTTGCATTTGATATAGCGCTTTTCACGTCGGGAGGACGTCCCAAAGCGCTTCACAGAACACACTGTAAAGTGAATTGACTGTATATTTGTGGGCGAACGCAGCAGCCAATTGCGCACAGCAATGTCCCACAAACAGTCGTAGATTGAAAATGACCAATTTATTATTGTTTTTGGTTTTTGGAGGGATTATTATTAGGCATGTGGAGTAAGGAAACTTGCCCAAGGTTTCGCCCTGCCTGGAATTGAACTCAGGTCTCTCACTTGCAAGAAGGCGAGTGCTCTAACCACTGAGCTACAGGCCTCCAGGAAGCTTGTCAAATAATTGCTTTCAATGGCAATCACTGTGGTGTTATCTGGTTAAATTCCAGCAGTACCCCAATAAATACTCTAGCATCCCCAAGCTTTAACTCTTGCCAATATTCTCTGGAATTAGGTAACAAGATACATCCCTCCAGGAAGAGATTGCACATTCCATTCCAAACACAGGAATTTCCAAGTGTAAGTCACATGAATGGAACTAGCAATCTGGTTTGGATACTCTTAAGCATGGTGATGGGTTTCCTCATGACAAAAAAAATCTGTTGCTTGTAGCTGACAAAGTCATACCAATTCAAATAGGATTTCTGACTGTTTGAAATAATATCTTAACTATTAATACTTTTATTTACTGACGTTGTTAGATTGTTTACGATGGGAAACTTGGAAAACAGCAGGCAAGATTTATCAATGTTTTAGATTATAATACTCTTAAAAAAAAGTTTCTCCCTAATAATTTCCCCCTTTCGGTTTATTCTCATTGCTTGTCACATAATTTTCTGGTTGGACGACTGTATCTATTTGATCCCTGTAGAGGTAACTCTTTAGCCCACCAGTAGGAGGTGCTCAAGAGCAACAAATGGTGACTCACCCTGTTATCTCTCTCATTTAGGGACGTGCCTGTTTCCTCTCAGTACCTCCTCAAAGACTTTCTTGGTATTGGCAACTTGTAATTTTAATCATTACAGCAATTTTAAACACAACCGAAATGGCACTTTTGAGAAGCGTCATAACTTAGCCTTTAACTGAAATACACGTGGAGTAATGCAAAACATTGTGCCTCGTACATTTCAAATATCCGGTTCATGTTTTATTATCCTTAATAAATCCCTTTATACAAGGAGGACTAATAACAAGGGGCAACCAAAACCTAGGGTGGCCTATCATATTCTGGTGCCTAACAATAGGAATCAACGTACAATTTATTACATCTTCATAATGGTAATCTTCATAATTATAAGATGAAACATTGATTGTTGCCAGTGATCAGTGTATGATACACACAAAGAAGGGTGAATGTCTCATGAAATGGTAACTGTTCGAAAGGACAGAAAGATTAAATGAAATTAAGTTGGATACTAACAGACAACAGATTGTATCCAATGTATTTACCACTAACCTTGGTTTGAGCAGTGATGGTTAACTTTATTTTTAAACCTCAGGCAGTCTCATTGTCTGGAAGAGACACAAGAGGGATGTGCCAAGCTTTTCTGGTGGCATTATGTATGTATTCATGTGTAGATCAATAGCTGTTGTGTTTCTGGCATAAACCAGAGATCTGAGTTAAGTACCAGTTTCCTCAGTGCTGTTTCCCCAGTTATGATATTGTGGAGGATAGTAATCATCTTTCTATGATTGTAGAAGGTGAACTTTAACATATAATAGTCACAGCCACATCATGCTCACAATATGCAGATTTTTACACTGGACTAAACCAAGGAGCAAAACATGAGTTGTCTCTTTCTAACCAAGGCCATGGTATTCCATCACTGGGAAGACATTGGCTTTTCACAAAACTAACATTGTCAAAAGTTCTAATTAAGGCTGAGCTCCATTGATGTTTTTCATTCTTCTTGTAGCCACTTGATTTTCCTAATGCACATCATATGCGTATTAAATGTCTGTAACTGACTGGAGTTTGTGTTAGGATTCAGAAACCTACATGAAGGGATAAGTCTTATAGTATTGTACATCATCAAAGGTTGAGTAGCAGAGAAAGATCAGATTAGTGAAGAAGAAATTGTTAAGCTAACTTGCAGTTTAGGTGCACACAGATTGAAGAGAAGCCTGAGGGAAATGATGAATTCCACAGTCTTGAGATATGGGAAAGAATAAGCTGGAAGATCAGGTAAAATGATGAGTGTTTTATTTCAAAACAATAAGTAGATAGGGAGGAGGAAAGTGCAGTCATGACAATATATTTGAAGCTTGGAAGTGAAAATCTTCCTTCACGTATTCACCTATTATTTCAGTGATGAAGATCACACACTATTTATATGCTCATGTTCAATTTGGTCAACACTTACCTTTACTAACCTGTTGTGGATGTAACATGAGTAAAGCACACAGCATTTTGGTTGAAATTCAATAGAATTTTTCCAATAGAGCCAAGCATGTTTTCTTGAAAGAGTCGTGTGATAAGAGAACAATCTATTTATCAATTACATCCTCTGAGGAAAACTATGATTTAGTTAAGTACTTTATGTTATAAGAGAGCAACTTGTAAATGAGGATGGGGTACAATATCCTATAAACCTCTGCAGTTTAACCAAACTAAGATAATGTCAGATTCATGTTTTAGACACAAACATAATGATAGCTTGTGGTGTATAGCATCCCAAACTACTGGTTAAGGCCCTGAGATTTTCCTGAGGGATTAGTATACATTGGAAGTTTACCAGAAATTGTTGGTCTTTTCTTGAAAAAAAGGCAACGAATGAATGCAATTAAAAGTGTTTATTTGTTTGCATTAACAGCTGTGCGGAAAGGAGTTTAACCGAATGCACAATTTGATGGGACACATGCACCTGCACTCTGACAACAAACCATTCAAATGCATTTACTGCCCCAGCAAATTCACCCTGAAGGGAAACCTTACACGGCATATGAAGATTAAGCACGGAGTCATGGATGGAGGCCCCAATTCACACAGTAAGAAACTAGCTCTAGAAACCTGAAACACCTGTATCTTTAAAGATACAGCCAAATAGATACATAAATAAGAAAATATATATAAATCTGCAGTTATTATAAATATAAATATAATTATAAATATAAATAAATATAAATAATTATAAATATAAATATTAGTTGTTGTTATTGGAATACGTACTTTCTGATGTTTTGTTGTCCCATTCATTGTGTCAGTGCTATTACTGTTGTTTGATAGTATTATTCTACTACTTTGCAATGTTATATTCTAAACTTTAATGAGGGAAAAACAATGGTGTTTGCACATAAGGAGTAACAGGTGTCCCCCCAATTTAACCAGATACATCTCACATCTACTAAGTCAATTATCATTTCTTTTGGTAACTTTCTTTTGTTGCTTGTGATGAATAGCATAGCCAATGCATGTATACAGGTGTCAGAAATAGCACTGGAGAGATCTTTTAATCCTACCTTCCTTCTTTGTTTATCTTTTTATGTGAAACATTTCTGTATTTTGTCTTTAAATTTTCATACACTTCCTTTAATATTCCTTACTGGTGCCAAAAATTAAACAGAACGTTGTTCTGTTTAATTTTTGTTTCTCTCCAATTCTCTCATCTCTTTTCCCCTCCTATTCCTAAAGGTGCTGCTTATGAGCAGTGTATATAACGAATCATTCTGATTTGTTCCTCCACCGGGAACCTAACTGGGGACACCGCAGTTGAGGCTCATGCAGTCTTTACTCTATCTCCACACATGTTCATTTTCCATCAGGAGTCACTTAATAATAAAAATGATAATAATAATAATAATAATCCTTGAATTTGATATAGCTCCTTTCATATCAGCTGGGCAGCTCAAAGCGCTTCACAGGATTTACTGTAAAGTGCTTTGACTGAACTGTAAAGTCATATATGGCAGCCAATTTGTGCACAACAATGACCCACAAACATCAGTGAAGTGAATGACCAGTTTTATCTGGGGGATTTATTGGCCAGGACTTCTGTGGCAGGAAAACATATAGGCCAGAGTGCACAGACAGGAGTGGATGTGACAGTAAGGTTGAATAAGGACTACTGTCATTCTCCAAAAAATATGTTATATAAATGCTCTAAACAGCTTTAAGCTTCATAAAGGAATATTTTATGTTAACGTGTCAAAGAATATTAAAAAAAACTAAACAAAATAGAAAGTCAGAAACAGGAAACATAATGAGTTACGACATAGAGGAAGGCAGAAACCAAGCTGGGGGAAACACAGAATGGTGGAGTGTGAAAAATTTTGTAAAACTATTGGGAAATTCTAATTGTTTTGATTAATTGATGTTAAAATTAATCTGTGTATAAATATACTGAATATTGATCCTTATATACTGATTATTTTTCATATGAGCAGTGTTTGCAATGAGTCAGGATAACTATAATTTGTACTCTGGACCATGGGCATTAGATCTAAACCAGTTAAGAGTGAAATAATATTTTTTTCACACAAAGGGTTATGGCAATGTATTCTATCCACCACTGCTTGCAACTAGCTGCTGCATTTCGCCCACAAAATATAGAGTCAATTCACTTTACAATATATTCTGTGAAGTCCTTTGAGACGTCTCAATAACATGATAATGGCCTATATCAAATGCAAGGATTATTATTATTCCAAAGGTGGTAGATGTCAAGTCAACTGAAATCTCTAAGACAGAGTTAGATGAATATTTGGCTGGCGGTGTATCAAGGGATATGGTGAAAGGGCAGGGAAATTGTATTAAGTTGCAGATCAGCCATGATCTAGTAAAGTGGTGGAGCAGGGTTGAAGGGCTGAATATTTTTTATATTCTTATGGCACTGCATTTGAATAATAGAGGGTTTTGTTCCCTTTATTGTTATCATCTGTAACAAAACTATACAAAAAACACATTTTTCCTGAGCTCACTCAATACTAAAATATAGCCAAAAGAAAATTAAAATTGTTTAAGTTAATAATCACCAGATGATAAGAGATAGTGTAGCTAGTTAAATGATATCCAGAAATCCTGGGGTCTTAAGAGAGGTTGAGATTAATATCAAGCACTTCAGTTCATGCACCCTAATATTTATAGCATGTTATGCCCCTTTGTTCTAGTTGTTAATGAATACACTTGTACTAAGCGTGACCAAGTGGAAGCCAAATAAAACAATCAAATCCTGTATTCAAAGAACGGTTCAAAAAGGCAGAAACTTGTTGAAACAATAACCTTAAATAAAATCCCTTTAAAATTCACTCAATAGCTGTTAAATGCATTTCTAGTAATAATGCATAATGCACCTTATTTTGCCTCACTCTTCAATGAAGAGCCAACCGCACAAGGGCCTGGAAATTCAAATTGTGAGGATTTTTTTGAAGGTGAAAAATGTGACTTGCAATGTGATAAACAGTGCTGGTTGAGTTAAGACAACATTCCAGGAAACAACACTCCAATACCAGGTCTCCACAGGCAGCAATTCCAAAGATGGTGGTGGAAAGGTGGTGGCATTGAACGTGAAAGACGCTCTCACCTTCAAAGCTTTTGCTCCCCCTGCTACCTTTGCGACCTCCTAACCCCCTACCATCCTGCTTGCTCCCTCCGCTCAGCAGGCTCCGGCCTGCTTCACATCCCCCCGCCTCGCTCGCCCCACTATTGGCCGCTTCTGCCACTCTGCCTGGAACTCCATCCTGCAGTCCCTCCGCCTCACCCCTCCCTTGTCTCCTTCAAGACCCATCTCAAGACTCTCCTCTTTGACCGTGCTTTCGATCTCCCTCCTTCCCCCCTGCCCTCCACCCTCCCCGATCCCCAGCTCGGGTCTGAAGCTCTGAAGCTGCCACAAACGGCAAATAGGTGAATGACCAATTAATCTAGAGGATGGTTAGTCGGTAGAGTTGATATATCTGTAACTTAATTGAATCGATTGTATTTATTTAAGAAACATATGCATTTTCATTGGTAATATATTGTAATGATTATCTACCCAGATTGTTAAACTAAATGACGTGATAGCTGATGAATGTATTGTTCTATTTCATTTTAGGCTTCAGGAGGAGAGGACTAAGTGTATTTTCCCAGGCCAATCTACTGAGCAACTTTGAGCAGGAAGAACCCTTTGATCTTTCCCAAAAAAGCAGAGTAAAAACAAGCTTCTCTCAGTCGGATGGAGAGAGTGCCAAGGGAAGCTCCTGTCATGAGGAAGATGAGGACAACTACTATACAATGGGACAGTATAGCCCTGAGGAGTATTGCAGAGATGACAAGCTATATGTACCAGAAGATCTGTCCCTGAAAGCAGCAAGACCACTTCATAATTTCAGAGACTTGGCCAACGAAGATAAAGAGAGAGTGATGAGTGAAGACGAGGAGGACCTGCTGGTCAATGAAGAATTTCTGCAGAATGGAATTGAAGCTGACAAATATAACAATGTTTGCTACTTATTTGATAATCTCAATGAAAACTATAATGTCAAAAGCCTAAAGGACGTCTTAACAAAGCTTAACCATTATATTGCTTGAACATCTGAATGAAATAGAAATGTTATAGACAGAGTGTAATACTGAATAGACATAAGAGATGTGAGACATACAGTAGTTTTTCCTTAACATGTTAACCTGTATTTAGATTACACGCCCATTGAGTTGGCCACCCTCGGTTAATGGGGCCAAAACCTGGCACTTCTATCAAATCACAGTCAGTGGCACCAAGGAACTTTAACAATACAGATCTTGCAACTGCGCCAAAGCCATGATAGCAAGCTGGGCAGCCTTGAGGTAGAGGCTGCTATCCCCAATGCTTGAGATATGAAACCAGCGTTGTCTATTTACCAGGCAGACAATGTAAACCTTGCATCTGGCTGAGACATGAATCTATCACCAGCATATTCACCAGCAGATTGTGTCTAACCTATTAAATAGGCACTTTTTCCACTTTGTTTACCATGTCTGACACCAATTTAATTTACATTTTGTGATATTTCTTCAGATATAATTCGAAACGCTTATTATAATGTTATTGTAATTACTAATCAGATATTAGACAGTTATTGATTCAGGCTTTTCTGATATGTTTTCTAGATTTCAAAAGCAAGTGTTGAAGTATACTTTACAATCAGAGCCTGTCTTTATTGTTTGGTCTTTGTCCAATGCATACACATTTTTATATAAAAAATTGTGATAACTGTAAACTGCACAAGAATATGGCAACAAGTACCAGAATGGTAACAAACTAACTACAAATAGAACAAATACGTAACAATAATATAAATCTCTTTCTTTAATGAAATTGAGAAGCTCATATGCTTGTCATCAGTGCCTGATCTCTGAACAGATAAGATCACAAAGGCACATTGTGTATGAGTGCACTAATGCCATGTGATTTCCATCTCTCATTTTTGTTTTGATCCTTGTTAGAACCTGAGAACCACTTGATTAAACTTCTTTGTGATTCAAATCATTTCAGAGTGAGCATTGACTCGTACATTAATGAATCACAGTTCTACACGAAGGGATGAGTCAGTTCAACAATAATTTACATTGCACATAAACTTTCAGGTTGGGAAAAGGTCTCACGGTGCTTTACAAAGACTGAACAGACGCCCGAGATTGGAGGGAGCGGGGGGATAGAGGAAGATGACTGAAAGCGCATTCAAAGAGATAGGTCTTCAAGGAGATTTGAAAGAACAGAAGGAAAGATCAAGGAGAGGTGTGAAATTGGGTTAGATGTGATTATAACAAAGAAAATATACTTTCAAGAATGTAACCACTGTTTTCTGTTGAATGCAACAATATTGATGATGGTTTTATAAATNAAAAATAATCCTTTGCATTTGATTTAGATCCTGTAATATTAAGAATGTCTCAAAATACTTTATGTCTTAGAAATCATTGTTATTGGGTAGTTTGTAAAAGAGTATTACTCTAAAGTTTAAAGTAGCAAATGAAAGTACTATTGACCAAATGTTGTGTTTATACTTCATCATCAACAATAAAAATGAACCTCTTGTCTCTTTACATGTCATTCTATTGTATTAGTCAAACAATCAATGTACCTGAAGGAAACAAAAACATTATACTTTCCCTCCTTGGGCGACTTTCTTCACTTGTTTTCCAGTATTGGCTAGCATTTTCTCTGTGTTATCAAGATAATTAATTATTATTAATAATATGATATGCATTCCTAATTGTTGCATATATTCTATATCATAATATTTGTAATTTCTCAATAAAAAATATAAATGTTATGCGTGTCACTGAACATCGTCTTAAGCAAAAGTAAGGGTCTAATCCTCTATTGGCAAAATTTACATATCAATAATAATGAGTTTGGTGGTACACACATTTCATCCTTTTACAACAAAAGTTTTGACTTGTGGTATAACTGGACAATAGAGGCTATAACATAAAGAGATTAATTGATGCTGGAAAGAAATTGAGCTGGGGAATCTATAATATTCTACTGCTTCTGAAATTCAATGAACACAAAATTGTTTCACTGAGGGTTAGGAGGGTGTAAAATCTAGATGTGGTTTGACATTGCTGCAGCTCTAGCAAATTGGGCAGGAAATTTTAATCGGGCTACAGCACTTGTTGCAATAGTGACTGTTTTATTATCTGTGGAGGAAAGAGAGATTAAGAGTCACAGATATAGGACTCTGCAACTGTATCTGTGGAAGAGCATCTTCAAGGCCAGCTTGCTTGCCTTCAGAGAAGAATCACTACATTTACAGCAATTATTTGTAAAGCTTGTTTCAATCTGATAAATTCTCTCTTTCATTTACACAGAATATTACATTAATTGTACTGCAAGGAAACAGGCCATTCGACCAAACTAGTCGATGCCAGGCTTTATACTCCACATGGGTCTTCTCCCGCTCCTTACTCCCTCCCCTTCTATCCCCTTCTCCCTCATGTATATCTAGTTTTCTCTTAAATCATCTACATCATCTGAATCATCCACCGTTTCACATTCCACATTCTCACCACCCTCTGCATAAAATAGTTCCTTCTAATTTCTTTTTTAGATCCCGTAGTTGTTATCTTATATTTGTGTCTCCTGTTTACAGACTCCACAACTAATGAGAATAGCCTAGATATTCTAACCTTATCAAACCCTTTTATAATTTTGAACACTTCTAGTAGGTCCTCTCTCAAATGTTTCTTCTCTAGTGGAAATAGATCTAACCAACTAGCCTATCCTGCTAACAGTAACCTGGGATTAACCTAGTTAACTTATGCTGTAGTCAGACCCCACCTGGAGTACTGTGTTCAGTTTTGGGCACCACACCACAGGAAAGATATATTGGCCTTGGAGGGGGTGCAGTGCAGGTTCACCAGAATGTTACCAGGCCTAAAAGGATTAAGTTACAAAGAAAGGCTGCGTAAACTTGGATTTTATTCCCTCGAGTTTACAAGGTTGAGGGGTGATTTGATAGAGGTTTTTAGGATGATAAAGGGATTTGATAAAGGGGTAGATGCAGAAAAGCTATTTCCTATGTTGGGGGAATGCAAAACAAGGGGGCATAGTCTTAAAATTAGAACCAGACCATTTAAGACTGAAATTAGGAAGTATTTTTCACTCAAAGGGTGGTAGAAATCTGGAACTCTCTCCCCCCAAAAGTCGTGGATGCTGGATCCATCAAGAAAGAGATTGACAGATTTTTGGTAGGTCGGGGTATTAAGGGATACGAGGAGAAAGCGGAAAATTGAGATTCGAAATTCTAGTAAAGATATAGATCAGCCATGATCTAATTAAATGGCGGAACAGGCTCGAAGGGCTGAATGGCCTATTCCTGTTCCTATGTTCTCTTTCCATCGTTACTATATTTTTCCTATAGTATAGAAACCAGAATTGGACACAATTATGGTCCAATGTGGTCTCACAAAGTTTTACATAAATTCAACATCACCTCCTCATGTTTATCCTTCTGAATATAAAGCCCAAGACTCACCCACAAATATACAGTCAATTCACTTTACAGTCTATTCTGTGAAGCACTTTGAGATGTCGAGAAGACGTGAAGAGCGCTATATCAAATGCAAGGATTATTATTATTATATTATTATAAGAACTCGTTGTCTTTTTTTATGACCTTATCTACCTGTGTTGCTACTGTTAGAGATTTGCTAATCTAAATCCTGAGATCTCGTCGCTCCTCCTCTTAGGTTCCTACCATTTAGACTATAGACAGTTTCTTTATTTTTTCTGCCACAGTGAATTACTTCACATTATGTGCACCTTTTGGAATCCGATCATCGCATGACACCTAAACAGTTGTTGTACGAGGTCTTATAGTTATCAGAAAATTTCCACACGATAATTTACTATGTAGGATTCTTTAAATTTACATTTGTACAGGAACCAAGATTTCATGAGTTGATGTTATGTATGTAGAATTTCCAAGAGAATGAGATCTTTTTGGTGTAAGAAATCATTTACACTGCTCTGTTTTCACACCATGATCTTTTTCGACTTCTTTGTGATAAATGTTCCATTCAGTATTGTGCACATTGCCCTTGGAGTGTTGACCTTTAATGAGAAACGCGTAACACTGAACAGATTTTCTACCCAAAGAGAATACTGAATGTGTGTTCTATAAGACATTGTGCGTACTTGAGTGTTAAACTGACAACTAACATTCTGAAATAAGATGAGAACAAGTTGATAATATAACACCAAGGAATGCAAGGATCAAAGAACATTCTGTAGGATTTTTATGATTGTCTTTAAAGTTACAGAGTCTTCTGTACACAGAGTGGATGGTTTGAAGTCCCAAAAGGGCAGATTTAGCATAAGTCTGTCTGTATGCTAAATCTTGAGGAGGCAAGTTGCCTTGCACCATTCCATGCTTTCTCATCTCCTTATTGTACAGAGCAGCTGAATGATATTATGTATTCCAAGTGAGCCATAAACTGGAATTGTTAGTTGTTCTTCTTTTGTATTGTTGAGACAAAAGCAAAGGTTCAGTTTCAACAATTCCCTGTTTGCCATTGTTTCTGTCAGCTCAACAAGATCCTCCATCTTTCTGTTTCTAATTGAAGATCTTCTTTATAACAACAATGCACTGTCTACAACCGGCCGACTCAGCAAACATGATTCAAAGCAGCAACCGCACAGTCTTGAGAAAGAAATGTTTTTTTCAATCTGATGCCTTGTAAATACAAGAGCTGAGTGTGCAGCCTGGAAGTAGTCTTATGGCTGAGAGTTGTTTAACAGCAGAACACATTGATTAACCCTTTCAACACTTAATTCCTGCTAAAGACAATTACCTACTTTTTAAATAAATGATGACCACAATAATAATAATAATCCTTGCATTTAAAAAGTTTAAAATTATTTTAAAATTAGCTCCTTATCACGTCTTTCTGACGTCTGAATGTGCTTCACAGAATATACTGTAAAGTGAATTGATTGTATATTTTGTGGGCGAAACGCGGCAGCCAATGCGCACAGCAGTGTCCACAAACAGTCGTGGATTGTGTGACCAAATGATTTTTTTTTTTGAAGGGATTATTACCCCCGGTAAAGCAATTGCCAATCGACTAACGACTGGGTTCCTATTTACTGATAAGTAAACAGAGGCGTGTAGAGTAAGGAAACTTGCCCACCTTTTTGCCCTGCCCGGGAATCAAACCCAGGTCCTCTCGCTTGTGAGGCGAGTGCTCTAACCACTAAGCTACAGGAATCCACAAGAATGGTGTTCAAATCATAATGCAGAATATTATGAAGGCGGAGAGCACTGGCTGTTTTTCTACAATTGTTTAATTGACTGGTCAAGGAGAAGAAAACAATTTGTAATGGTTTAAAGCAACCTGCAAACTACCAAGCTTGAAGGTATAATAAAATGTTGTACAGTCAGCAGTCTGTTCTGTAATAAATGTGCACTGTTCCTCATTCATTATTAATAAAAAACACAGCTGCGTGGATTGAATGATGCAGTATTGCAATTGCACAATCTCTACTAGATCCGGAAAAACTCTTGGATCAGAGTGAGAAGAGAGAGTGTAAAGAGAACATGTCCTAAAGGACTTTGCTGGATTTTTAAACACTAAATTGGTTTCTTTTAACCTTTTCGGATCTTGACACTCCCAGTGAAAAAGAAAGCAGCCATCCCCCATTAACCTTTCAGTAACAACCCTATTCACCTCTTCAATATCCATGCCCATTCACCTCAGTAACCCTTCATTCACCTCAGTAACCTCCATTCACCTCCGCTGTTGCCATCCCCATTCACCTCCTCAGTATCCAAATGCCTTGTTATTGTATTGTCCCATTTCATCTTTTAAAAAACTGATTTATGTGTTCCATTTTTACTCTGCTACCTTCCATTCTTCAGTCGGTGTGCAGCACAGATTATTTTGTACTGTAGTACTGTAAATGCTGCTGGCCCATTCATTACAAGTTCAGCCCTGAATAGTTAAATAATCATTTGCTTTGTTAAAAGAATCTTGTTTTTTTCCAAAACAAAGTCGTAAAGCATTGCATTGTTTCTGGTTGCTCACATCCATATTGCTGCTCGGGAAGACAGGAGATAAACAGCGGTCAGTCAGGCTGTTGAGAAAGGATGTAAGTGGCAGGGCGAGCTTGCTTAGCTAACAGCCCTTTCTCAATCTTAAATTGTATGCTCTGATAAGACCCATTGTTAATTGCATTTTAAATATGTCCTGCCTTTACCCATATCATATGAAAGAGCATGTCAAAGCAACAAAGCTATTGTGCAGTAATTTGTTTCTGGGATATTAAAATTAAAGCAGAGCTGCACATAAAGCATCAGAACTGTATTGCCCCAGAAACATAAGCATACACCTACCTCCTATTTTATATGTTAAAACAGATTTGGGCCGTCTGTTTCTATATTAAAAATGAAAATTGAAAACGCAAGGATTGCAGAATCTTCTGAAATTGTGTTCATTGGTTATTAATTACATATTACATGTGTTTACACAGAGTTAACACAAATCCAATGACCTATTCATGAGCAAGTGTAGTATACATGGATCCCAGTGATACTTCAATTGCTGTCTAGCAAAGAGGAGAACTGTAACAACTGTACATCATTTTCAAAGTACAGTGGAAGTCACTTAAGCCAGGCACTCCCCCCATTTCATCTATATTT